AGTTTCCACAATCGAATATGAAATTCTACATTTTTGCTGACCACTTTTCTTGATATCGAGTGCAGACTGTAGGCACACATGTGGAGCTCGGCGTGGCATTAATTGCAGCAGCTGGGCAACAATAACGTGCAAGCGTTTGGCGGGCGCTGGAAATTGGTGAAAGGGTTCAAAATGAAACTTGAACTTGTCTGGCGGCTGGCATCGGTGGTGATGGTGACGATGGCGATGGTGATGGCGTGGGCTCGTTTTTGGTACATGGGGTGGGCGGCAGCATATGTGGCAGCTTTCTAATTATGTAAAGTTGTTGTTGTTGCTGTTGCTGCTTGGCATGGCCATTGCAGTTTTCCCACCACTCCGAGCACAACGTCATGGCGTCATATCAAAAAGCGCGCTCTGGCGCAGACCTTGAGTTCTCGATCCCGTGTCCGCGGTTCGTGGTCCGGACCGATGTCACGGCATGCAAACGAGCGGCAGATACACAACAGCTACATGCACCATGAGCAGCATGGCCAGCAGTGCTTGATGGCGACTACGATGCGGATGAGGACGCGGCGCATACAACTTGGACGACAGGCGGGCAGGCAGACTGGCAGACTGGCCGACATGGAGACAGGCTGGAGAACACGCAGCTCTGCTTCAGGCAAATGCCAAGCAATGCTCGCCATGTAGCTGCAAAGTGCGTGTTAGCTGCATATTTATCTTATTTTTGCAACGCTTGGATTTATATTACAAATCAATTGAAGCATCATTAGCATAATATATACAAAACGTTCGCTTAATGACCGCTCCGAGTTCTCCAGACCCATTCCGTTCCCAACTCTCGCCTCTCACTTATCGACACAAGCTCAGTCGCAATCTGCGCCTTGGGCGCAGTGTCTATCAGTGCGAGTCATTTGACATTTGTGTATGCTGTCGATGGATGTGGATAGGGATGTGGATAGGGATGTGGATAGGGATAGGAATAGGAAAAGGGCGTGGTGTCTATGCGCCCCATGCGCATACCCCATGTGACAGCCATTAGATCAATCCAGTGCCGCCACAGTAGTCACCATCACCCACTTAATCTCGCTCATCAGTCTCAGTCAGAGTCGCTATTTCACTCTTCAGTCAAATGGCAAGAGCCGCTTGGCGATTACAAACGCCGATAAAGTCACAGTACAGACAATTCGGCTTGGCTCGTTTCCACACACACAACTAACGAGGGCGGCTTGTATTTTTTGAAAAAGAACTTTTACTATAAAAAATACGAATACGAAATAGTCAATAAAAAGGGACAACAAATGTTTCGAAGCATACCAAATGTAAAATTACCTTTCTTTATAAACGAACTCAACAAAGTTCGTTTTCTGAATAATTCAAAAATCAATGCAAATAAGAAATGCATTTTAAAAGTCTGCTGCATTATTTTATAATATTACAGGAAACTTTATCTGCAATTATTTAAAATTCGTTAGTAAATAAATGTATGCATAATGTTCTTCATTCATCATGTAAGTCTAGAAGTACAAAAGATAATTTCTTCAGATTTTCTATTTATTTCTATATAATCTATCGGCTTTTGTGGATACCATTTGGATAGGCTTTTGATAAATTTTGAGCTGTTATCACACTGTCTACTAAAGGTTTCTATTAATAGCTTTTGAAATAGCAAAAGAAAAAGAGAGATTACAAAGTTATGAAGTCTCACATCGAAGGTATAATAAAAGGGTTAATTTCCATTGCGAAACGTGATCTGGAAGAACAGAAAATAGCGCAAAAGTTTCATTTATAATTACATTAATAACTAACAGTGTTGGTAAGATGAATGACATACTCTACTTAATTAGCTGTTAAGTAGAATTACTTTTCCTTCCCTAATTACTATTTTTTTTATGTGTTTCGGGGCCTAGCTGACCAAATGGCAAATAAAATCAAGCCGATATACAAATCGCAGCCAAGAAAACGAAATTGAAATGGATCTGGGTAAGGTTGATTAAAATATATAGACGAAGCGAATTCCTAACTTAAGCTTAAAGGCAACAGTAAATAGTTAGTATTAAGGAATAGCTTTTTATCGCCTTTTGCTTACTTATTTTATTCAGATGTAAACTGCATTTGTAGTCTTGCTTTTAGTGCAAAAACAAAACAAAAAAATTTAAATTTCAGATCAGTCTATTGCGCATACACTTTAGTCCAATAACTTTGTACGAAGAAAAGTCTTTTTTTTTCCGGCCCGATCTTAAGAAACATTTCATACCGTCCTCGCTCAAACGATATAGTAATATCTCAGCGATCGGTCACGTAGCATCGCTGCAGTGTGGCAGCAAAACGTAGCGCCAATTGCTACGCATTTGCGGCCACAATTCGCTGGAGCGACGAGGTGCCAGGCGCCACCGATTGGCGCTTATAACAAATGCAATTCGTGTCGCCGCAGCTGTGCCTGTGATTTGGCAACAACAATAACAACAAAAGCAGCAACCACTCCGACTTTGACTTTGGCTTCGACAGCAACCACAACAGCAAGAGCGACTCCGACGCCAGCGATATTTAATTGTTTCTGCGCCAAACGCGGCGACGTCTTATCGGGGAATTCCAATCGGAATTTTTAATTTCTGCGCAGTCGCCAAGGAGTGTTGGCCCCTTGTCTGATTGATGTCACTGCAGAATGCATAAAAAGGCATTTGCCGTTGATGTTGATGTGGATGTTGCTGCTGGAGCTCGGACTGGAGTTCGAGCTGGAGTCGGAGTCGGAGTTGGTGTTGCTTGGTTCTGATGGTGATGGCGATGGCAATGGCGATTGTAATTGTGCTGGCCATATGCAAATATGAGCGAGACAAGAGTTAACAACGCATAAAAGCAGCCTGGCAGCATCTGAAAAGTTGGCCAACTGTAATTACCCGGCAACGTTGAGAACTTTTTCACACCTGTTCAAACAAGTTAATTAACAGCTCGACAAAACTATAAAATAAAAAAATTGAAATGAAACAACAGGCAAACTACAACTGCACACAGCCGCCACACAAATGCCACAACAATAATTACAACAACAACAGCAACAACAATAGTACAAGTAGCAACAGCAGCAAGCTCGAGCTGCCTTCGCGGCGAGCCTATGGGAAAGTTTCTAATTAAATGATTGTCATCTTTTGCGCGCACTGGCCATTGGACAGTGGACACTGCTGAGCGCCAGCAATGCCACACAAACAAGCAACAAGCAACAACAACAGCAACAGCAACCAGAAACTTTTGTCATTATGCAGCAAGCTGAAAAAATGACAAAAAATAGAGAATGAAGTGAGTAACTGAAATTATTAGCGAAGATGAGGAGCAGCGACCGAAACCGTCGCCATTTGGCCAACCAGCGAACGGTGCAGGTTTTGTTTATCCCCAGCGTCTGCGGCCAGTGGGCAATGAGGTCATCATCAGACGTCGCCATCTCGTACATCATCTGTAATAAAGCAACTCCTTTGCTGTCCCCCCCAAAAAACAAAGTTGTTTGCCTTTAGCTTTGGCGACAGATTTCGCAATGTGCATGCAACAAAAATACTAATACATACAAGTAGTATTAAAAATAATATAAATATTTATGTATATATATGTGTGTACATATCATGCATGTACAGTGTCTTGCTTGCCTTAGTCGTTTCATTTCTACATATAACTAATGAAGAAGTTTTACATTTTGGCAACCACATGCTATTTTAATTAAGCCGCTGCCATCATCTAATGAACTTGCAAAGCCGGCTTTGAGCCACGTTGACATTATAGAGCTTAGCCTAAGAGTGCAAATTGCAATTCATTGGCTAGTGTTTTTGTAGGCCAATACCTACTTATATGCCAAATATATACAATTAAAACAGAAGATAAAGTAAGGGAGTATTTGGCAATTCGATGAAAAAAAAATTAACTATTAGCTTCTTGAGAAGCTTAAAGCATCGAAGCTACTTTAAAAGAACCATTTTGATTTTTATAAATCTTCAATCTATTCCCACATTATGCAGATGTCGGACTCAATTCGTTGGTAATGGAAGGACGAAAGCAGCCGAGCCCTCAACTTTATTCGGAATGTTGCTGATTTGATGAAGCTACTTGTATGTGTTAAGAAATAACTAAAAAAGTTGACCAACGGTTTTGTTATTGCTTTTAGCTCGTTTGCTTACGAGAAATTACATGTTTACAATTTCATTAGTTATGGTTGCTCTAAAATAATAGTTGCATAGTTGTGTTGAAACGTGAGCTCCTTGTGTCTTACGTAATCCCCCTCATTTGCTAATTAATGTGTTAAAACGTCAATAAGAATGAACTACTGTTTTATTAAATGTTGACTACTGAAGGGTATGCTTTCTATGAACAGCACTCAAATATAGACTAAAATGTGACTTCATTAATCATAATACAATTTTTGGAGAAATGGGAATATAACTAGGATTTATATAAAGAAATCGTGTTGAAAAAGCTTTAATTGTTTGCACATAAAACTTGCATTGGCTTAGGTATAGATCGGATACAACAGGCTTATAAATAATAGCCATTGAACATATTGAAAATACACTACTTAGTCTAATCACCGTTTACGAGTAATAAAAATTCTATAGCTTAATTGCAAAATTTCCTTTTATTATTTATTGGAAGATAAGTTATTTAAATGTTAACCTTTTGAACAGCAAGGAAGCCTTGCTTTGCAAGCATTTGGGCATTCGCAGCAAGGTTGTAAAGCAGCTGCAAAAGGAAGGAGGCCAACAACTAAATAAGTCCACAACTTCATCCTGAATGTTGTTTGTTCACGATGTTCACCACAAAACTATGGAAAACTGAAATATAGACCTGAGTTTTTAGTTAGTTTTAAATCTCATTATTGTTAACTAGAAATGTTCCGCAATGCAATTAGAGACGGTTGATCCAAGTGTAAGTGGAACTAATAAAATATTATATGCTTTTTCATTCATGTTTGAAAATAAATAGGTTTTTGCAAATCTTATAAAGCGAGTGTACAATATAATAGAATAGTATTAATGGCTGTGAAACAGATAATGTCCGAGGATGTCAGACAATTTTTGAAGAACGTTCACGGCTAATTATGTGTTTACAAGTATTGGTAAAAATTTTGGACTTTTGAAATTGATTACTATATTGTTTATAATAATATAAAGAATTGAAAGGCATTCAGTGCAATATTCGTAAATTCTTTGCTTTTAGGCTGCTAGGAATATTCAAACAATTCCAAATCGCCAGTCGAGTGAAAGTTAAGTGGAAGCTTAAACTCGTCCAGCAATCCCATTTCAATCCAATCGAAAACTTGTGTGACACCTAAAAATCGATGCATTTCGAATGGACTCCACTTCATTAAGCTGCCGTTGTATTCTAGTGCGCAAAAGTGAAACTTTTCCGAGCTGGCTATCATTGGCGTTAGTTCGATTTACCGGCTGAAAAAAATGAAAACATTGAAAATAAACACATACTATGGCAACGAGGAAACAAGCAAACGACGCCAAAAGCAAATCAACGAAAAAAAGGGTTAAAAAAGCAATAAATAAAACAAGGAGCCGCGGCGACGGCTGCGCCAACAACACAGACAGAGACAACAACGGCTCCTGTTGTTGTTGTTGTGATTGTTGTTTTTGTAAAGGGATCAGGGATGCGAGGCTGGGGCTGCTGCAACCCTGTGACAGGCAAATCGCCAAACGAATACCGTGGGGATGTTGATTCCATCCGTCCGTTGTCCGCTAGGCTTCATGTGTGCGCCTGTCTCTGTCTCTGTGTGAGTGTGAGTGTGGAATTTTCATTTTGTAAATTTGTTTTGCTTGTTCCGTTTGGCTTCATTTCCGCTTCCTTCGACCGTCTGCCAATACCACTACATGATTTGTGCCTTTGCTCTCACTGATTTTAATGCAAATATCTTAGGTATGGCCCACAAATGAAAAAATAGCTATATAGCGTACGTACATATTTTATTTCTACGCTTTCTGATTCTAGCTACGAAAAAACTGACGACAACACCACTGACATCGCACTGTGGGCCAACAGTTGCTTGTAGCCGGATAAAAATCAAATATACAAATACATAAGCATAGGAAATTTTGCGTTAAAATAATAATCATAATTATATAATTATAATCAAGTGACTGCAGATTCAGAAATAAAATAAATTCGATGCCGGAGGATTTAGGTCTTATATTTTAAGGTACTTCCGGAAGAATCACTGATCACCATTGCTGTGCTGTCATTAAACCTTCCCTAGCTTTAAAATATTTTGTTATCTTTTATTATTTAAGTATTTTTATTTTAATTTGTTATTTTAATCTCATCATACTACTTCTTTACCCGTTATTGTTAATTCTTCATCTCCATTTCTTTTTCGTTAGCTCTAATAACGTCTCTGACTACTCTCTGGTGTGAATCGGGTGGCCTTTTGGCAAATAAAATTCCCCCACCGAGTTGAAGTCGTTATTAGATAATTTTTTAATAATTTCGATGAGCTTTTGATTCTTTAGTTTTATTAAGTTTGGGCTGTTAATTTTTTGTTTCTTTTTTTTACAATAACAGCCATGACATAAATAAATAAAGGATACTATACATGTAGAAAATAAAGTTTTCAACATCCATAGCTTTCATCTTTCTAAACTTCTTTTAAAAAAAGAATCGAGTTTTTGAAATTTCTATTGTTTATCCTTTTTTTGTACTCATTTTAAAATTTTTGATTCTGGTTGGATGTCTAAAATCTAATTCATTTCTTCAATTAATATTTGTGTTTTGCTGGAACAATAGTTTGCTAGTAAATTAGTAAGCAAAGTTCGAGATTTTTTGTAATTTTAATAATATAGTATACAAGTATTTGCCAACTAGACACCGTTTTTTAAAATTGGGGCCACTGTGCGATGGCATTGGTCTCCGGTCTCTGGTCTCGCGTGGCCCTAATGATATGGTGTCGATAAGAAAATGGCGCGCGACGTGTGTGAAAAGGGTTTGCTGTATAAATTTGAATTATAATATTGCAATTTTCACATGCATGCTCGTACACACTTGAAGCTGTCTGACAATTTCTCTGACTGGTCAGAGCAGTCGGAGCCGAGAGTGGAACGCTTGCTGTGCAATTTGTGTGCGGAATATGTTCCGGCATATATTATGGAGATTTTTTCTTTTCGAATCGAATCACCGTTTCCGGCCAGAGGGTGCGAAAAGTCAAGAGTGCTTCTGCCAATGCATGATATAGTATCTTGGCCACATATCCTCATATCCTAGTGGGGATTTGCCTAAATCAAAAGTGCGTGCTTTTGAATTTATCAAGGTATGTATACACGCTCTGGTATTGTGGGCTGGACATCCGAAGGGGCGCTCTTCCGCCTGCGGGTTGTTTGTTTGCCTAGCTGTGGTTCGGCCAGTGAAATTGTTGTGGAACGGGGATTTACATTCACATTCGCATTCTGTTTGCCAAACGCTGTGATTTATGGCTCAAACTTTTCGGCGGTTTCTGTTGTTTCTGCGGTCGAAACTTATGCGCGTGCCAAGCACAAGTCTTAGATCTCCGTGCTGAGTTTTGGGGCGGGAATCGGGCCATGGTTGTCTCTCTGGTCATTACAATTCGCACTTTTAGACAATTTGTTACGGCAATCGGGCGCGCATCGAAAATGCTTTGTAAGCTGGCAGAGCTTAGCCAGCCGGGCTGACTAGCTGACTAGCTGGCCAGCTGACTCGATGTCTGGCTAAAAGTGGAAAACATGACACTTGGCGTTTATGTTAATCACCTGCGTGAAAGCACAGGCAGCTGCAAGGAGTCGTCGTGGCCCAATGTGTTCTCTATGTACTACACAAATGTTGACAATGACAAATACGCACACGAGCGCGCCTGCTAATGTATGCAAAAACCAACACGAAGACAACCAGCCAGCCAGCGAGCCAACCAGACAGACAGACAGACAGGCAGGCACATTTGCACTTTTTGGCTAGAGGAAAATGAAGCTAATGAGTTGAATTGAACATCGCTTGAGAACTCATTAAACGCACACACACTCGCGACCAGTTGATTAAACACACAACAACAATGCTTCAAAACACTGCCGACATGGGTGTAATACCATCTGGAATTTATTTACATTTGTTGATTTCTTTGAAAGCTCTTAAATTGTTTGCCATTTGAAGACAACAAACATATAAAATGAGAAGCTTTGTAGCTCCATTTCCCCATATGGAGTTCAAATTCACCAAAACTTAGTGCTCACTTACTTCATGACTTGAGTCTTAATTGCAGGTTTGTAGCAGGTGTTCAGACAGTCACAACAAACTGTCTTAATGTGTTTTTATAGATGACTTAAAACCAGATAATCAAATGATACAATCAAGCGTTTTTATATTGAATTTTTCCAGATATTCCAATATGATTGAAACAACAATTTCTATAGTGACTTTCTTTTCGTCGTGTTGATCTCTCGTGTCTATCTTTAATTAGAATACGATCAGAGATACATATTTCTCTTAAGTGTTCACCACAAACTGGAGAACATTTTGGCTTGCCATTTCGCTTTACCTATTAAGGTGGCCGCCAGTGTATTTGCATCGCATGCAGGCAGACGATAGAAAAGAGAGTGTCGGGTGCTGGGGCAGTCGTTGCAGATAATGATGAATTTCCATAAGTCGCCAAGACGTGGCAGCCACAACAGAACGCAACTTGCACATTAATCTTCGCCGGCTGCTCCACGATGAGCTTTCGTGAGCGTGGAGCAAGACCCAAGAAGTGGGAAGTGCAGTTAACGCGCCAAAAAGACAGCAATTGCCGTTGGAAGGAGGCGGGGGCGACGACGAGGTAGTGGTTAGTGTGGCTATTGAGGAAGCAATGCTGCCCAGCACTTTGTGTTGTTGTGGTTGTTGTTGTTGTTGTTGTAGTTTCCTGGTGCCTGTTGTGTTGACATGCGTATGGGTTGTTAATTATGCAAAAAATAGCAGGGATTAAAGACAAACGACTTTGTTGTTGGACGGATGGTTTTCCATAGCCAGCATAGAAAGTTAAGCTGTCCATGGATTAACATAATCAATGGAATGAGCATTCCCCAGCCATTCGGATGCGCCTCTAATGTGTTTCTAATTAAGTATCCTATCTACTCGTATGTCTTTAAGATAGTTGTAAACACTACAATGAGGATTCAAAAGAATTCCGTTAATAGAAAATGTCTTTGCTTCTGAAATCAAGCGCAGTCTGTGAAATAAAGCAGAGAAAACTTAGCAGAAAATCATTTTTGGATTTAACAGTTATTTTTGGAAAAAAGATACTTAGTAGTCACTGGGGAGTTTAAATTTCCTCACCATTTTAAAGCGATATAAATTTATTTGTCTTCATTAAAATTCGCTTATAAGTCTGGTGCTTTTACTCGTATTTATTGTAAATAAATAAATAAATGGGAAAAATAATTTTTAGCTATATCAGTTATTTTTAGAACAAAGATACTTATTAGTCTTTGTTAGTGGGGAGTTTGAATTTCCTATTTCATATAAATTCTTTAACGTCATTAAAATTCGCATTGAAGTCTGGTGCTTACTCGTATATATTGAAAATAAATAAGAGAATGAGAAATCAAGTTTTTTAGATATATCAGTTATTTTTAGAACAAAGATACTTAGTAGCCTTTGTCACTGGGAAGTTTAAAGTTCCTCACCATTTCAATGCAATATGAAATTCTTGGTCTTTATTAAAATTCGCTTATAAGTCTGGTGCTTTTACTCGTATTTATTGTAAATAAATAATTTTTTTAAAATATATTTTATTTATTTTATTTCATCGACAAACATAGCTGTCGATTTGAGATATGAATATGGAAATAAGTTATAAGTCTAGTGCTTTTACTCGTATTTATTGTAAATAAATAAATGAATGGGAAAAATAATTTTTAGATATATCAGTTATTTTTAGAACAATATATAATATAATCGACAGTACTTAGTATTGTTGATATTATGAATAAAATAAAATAAAAAATAAAATAAAACAAGTAGTAGCCTTTGTCACTGAGGAGTTTTAATTTCTTCACCATTTCAATGTGATATAAAATGGTTTGTTTTCATTAAAATTCGCTTTGAAGTCTTATGCTCGTATATATTGAAAATAAATGAATGAATGAATCAGTGGTATATTGCTGTTCAATTTCCAATCAAAATTCGCCAATCTGTGCGAGTTATCGCCATTTCTGTTTCGGATGGTCCTTAAAGTTTCCTCAATGCGTAACCCTCCCCCTGTAACTCGGGCCAACCTTTGTGTCCACATGCAGCACGCCCTCGATAATTAGTAGACATGGCCATTTAGAGACTGTCCATTTGCTGCAGTGCCAGTGCTCCAACCGACTCTACGCCTCTCGAGCCAACCCAAAGCGACCCGTTTGCCTGTTTGGGCATAAGGACTACCATTTCGGACACGACATAAATCGTGAGGCCAGCGTCGTTTGCAATTAGCAGCGTTACGATGTCGAACTCTTAATCAAAAGTATTGAGACCCTAAAGCTGTGGACCTTTTATAACCCACACACACATTTACATAGATTCACACTCTCACACACACACGGGCAGACGGAGGCACGCACATTCACACCAAAAGCGCACGCACACTCTTGAAGCAGAACAATGCCAAAATACAAACATGCGGATGTCCTCTGACACTTCCTGTTTTTCTTATTCACTGATTTTTATTCGCTGTTTGAGGATACGCAAATGACCCATTTGGGGGATGTTATTACAACGGGCCAAAACGCAACCCACTGTCGACGTCATTGTACTCACTGTTCACTCTTGTTGTTCTTGTTGTTTTTGTTGTTGTTGTTGCTGCTTACATGGCTTTGCCCAGGCACATAACGGCACATGCCAAATGGCCACATAAAAAGGATAAAGAAATTATTTTCACATTGAATACACGAGCATGATAAGCAGAAGAGACCAAAAGAGGACTCTGCCAGCTAAATCCATTGATGTAATTTTTACTACATTGCGTCTTGAGTTTTGGCGCCTGTTAGCCTCCAGTTTTTATACAGTGAGGCCTCGCTAGTTACGTGTGTTAACTAATACAAGACTTTATTCCTACCAACCCGAATTCAAACCTAAACGAATTCGAAGTCGAGGAAAGGGATTGGGAAACGCCAATATTTTACTAAAACAAACTGTTTTATAAACTTAAAACAAATCA